TATTTTTTTCATTGTTTTGGAGAGATCAAGTGTGTAGAAGTAAGTTGCTAAGAAATTTGATGTCTATTGATGTCCACCGTTTTAACTATTATATTTTCATTGACAGTACACCTGCAGTTAAAGGACAAAAAAGAAGAAAATTGCAAATTGTTGTAATTTCATATTCTTGTTAAATGTCTCATTTTCGCAGAATTACGTGTTTTAGAATAAGTTGTGATGGGAGTTAGATTTTCTTGTCAAAGAAAACTTAATATATAGTAAGTGTTGAATTATTTTGGAAATAATGTCACATTACTGCTACAATATAACTTTATTGTTGGGAATTTGGTTCTGTAAGAATATACAGAGAAATATCATTATAGCAAATGTTGAAATAATGAAAATTTCAGTTTTTAGAATTCTTTTAATTTCCCCCACCAATATACCTATGGGTTATTTATAAATTAAATATTACTTAAAAGTAATCTGAACTTAAAGTACAACAAATGGAAAACTGCTTTTCTTGTGGAAGTCTTTATCTTTATTTCAAAAATTATTTTTATCTGAAATCTTATCGTTTTTTTGGTTTTTATCTGTCAATAAATATTTTTTAAATTATAATAATAATAATAATTATTATTATTATTATTATTATTATTATTATTATTATTATTATTATTATGCAAATGATTCCCCCATAGTACTTATTTTCCAGAAATTAATGAAATGGGTGGAGATATGGGAGCCTTTTTAAGAAAGAAGCCGTACTGTTAGGTGGGGAGCACAAAGATAACAAAAAACCAAAGAATGTTGAGATTTTGTTTCTTGATTGTATTGTTCAGTTTCCATTTGTATCTATTGAAAAAGTGAACCTAAAAAAAGAGAAATTATTAAATTCAGGATGAACTAAAAATTTGGTGAATAATTATGAAAACCTTCATATCAAATAAATACCATGGTTTTTTATTTGCACGTTCATGTTGAAGGAATGTATATCCTGCAGTTAATGAACTGTGATAGGTTTTCTGAAGAATTGACTTTCTTCAATGTAATGAAATTTTACTTTAACATAAAAACTCCTCATATATTTGTTATACTGGTATTTTACTGTACTATCATACTTTTCTAGTCCTGTTTATTTGGTCCTCTACTACTTTTCAATGTATATTGTTGTGCACAAGACTAAGTAACTGTATCTTTCTGAAATAACCAAATTTTTCAAAATGTTAATTATCCTTAAAAAATAGTTCTAGAATGGATGAGACAGTATAAAGAAAGTCTGTCTAAAATAGATGAGAGTCAGTGTAAAAAAATGACCGATAAAATAAGTATATGAGAGCCATTACAAAACTTCTCATCAAAACATTGTTCTCTTCTTGTTATATGTGTATATGATGTGCTTATTTTGTTCAACATTTGAAAACCAAAATATTTCTGATTTTGTAGAATGTTCCAAATATTTTTAAGGAAAGGAAAGCAAACTAATTGTCAGAAGTTTTTTGTATAGATTATTCAATAAAATTCAGCTGAAAAGTCTTGATAATTTCAAAATAAATTAATTTCATGTGTAAAAAAATTGAAAATATGATTTTGAAGGAGGACATTTCGATCCCTTTTTTCTGAAAAATTTTCAACCATGTATAGTATATTGGAAAGAGAATATTTTTTACAATTGACAAGGATTTCTAAACGTAATGCGCAAAATGTTCATTTGCTTCTCTAACATATGGCTCTCTGTAGATTAATTGTTTCCTTTTTAAAATAATGAATAAACTTAAAGGTTAGCATTAGCCACTTATAATTTAAATACTGTATAATAATTGATTTGTAGATCAGTGTTATGTAGAAATAGTGGTATTAGGGGGAAAAGTGTATTATCATAAATATTTTTAATGTTCCGTTATCCTCATATTTAATTGATATTTTACTCTTTTTTTCTTAAATTACGAGTTTAAGCAAGACCTTGCAAAATACTTAAACATTTCAGAATTTCCTTTGTACTCAGATGAGTTTGATAATATTTCTCTCTATCCGTTTTTTTTATATTCTCCTAAATGAATGATTCTTGGCCTATCAAAGAAGCTATTTAACATTCATGACCATTACATGTAAAAAGGGACTTCAGTACATTAGATGTAGAACTAAAATTTGGTTTTGAAATGCATCTTCTTGTAAGAGCCTGTTCTCGGGTCTTCTCTCAAAGGACTGTTTGTTACTTGTTTGAAATTCTTCTCACTTCGAGTTCCATGTGTATCATTTTCAGCTAAGGGGTCTCAGCATAGGGGGTCATGTATATGAAAATAATACTTTCAAAAGGCATCTAAGCTTTCAAATGTAAACATTTTTATATTATTCCTTATCATCTGTGTCAACCCAAAGCAGTTCCAGTCCATAGATAACAAAACTTAGTGTACAAAAGGTTTAGATTTTATTTCGGGTAGCAGAACTGTATTACAGAGCTCTAGTTGGTATTGTTAATTTGAAAGTGACTGACGAGAATCTGAAACAGGATGACAAATATAACTTTCGATTGTTAGTGTTTCATCATCATCATCTTGAAACTATAACTATTATTTTGATAGTGAAATTTCATAGTGTGCAGTCTTTAGTTTATGTCTGATGGAATTTTCTTGTATACAGACAAGGAATCTAGTTCCGGAGGTAGTTCGTTGGGCATGTGAGTAGCAGTGATTTAGAATATTATTCATCATTCAAATGTGAAGGCACTCTTAAAGTACAGATGAAGTAAAATGAAATACCAACAAGGAAATGGAATCATATCGACCGTAAAGATAATTTGTTGTGAACCAATATTTTTGTAACACTACCTGGTCAGTGAGGTAGATATGCCCATTTATTTGTATTGTAGAATGGAATTAATTATTTGATGGGATACATAGCAGTCTGCCTTTGCCTTCCTAGCCACAACCACACGAGAGAGATCCTACCTTTAGACTGGACTCGCTTCCCTTAGCTTAGAGAAATGCTGTGTGGCCAAATGACCTAAATACTTTAAAGTCAACATTTATTGATGTGTCAATTATGACATGTCATACATACAGTGGCATGTGGAGAGTGAGAAAGAAAACATTGTTGAGGCCACCTGGATACACTCGGCAATATAACCACGGAGGAGGTCCAGGGGAACGACAACCCAAAAATCAGACACTTGTATTTACATTGAGACTAATTTTACACGTTTCTTTTAATACTATATTATAAACTTTTAGGTGTCATGAGTTTCAATATCTTATACATCCATTTTAAAGAAGACTTTTGATTAATGTAATAGAATGGCGTGGATTAGGTTAGGCTTCATCCTATAACTATTTTTATTGAGGGAGAGAGAGATATACAATTTCTTGGCCACATCATTAGAATGTTCAATAACAATCTACAATCCACCTATCAAGACCTTCAAATTGATTGCAAAACTCCTAGATGCTATGTTTTGTGACTAAAGACATTCACGTCATGGAAAATCAAGCTCTCTAAGGATTTCTTTAAAAATTTACTTCATTTAAATATTGCACACATGTATAACGTGTTCTGTGTAGGTTTGAAAATTCTCATTGTTTCTATAATTCATATGAGAGCTTAGTCACATTTTGTGTTATGATATTTAAGAATTTGTTGTAGATTTTCCAAGATAGTAAGAAAAGAAGTAATTGCATTGTCTGAAAAGACCACACAAGAATTGGCAACATAAATATAGAGTATTCTCTTACAATCTTCCTTTGAATTAGAAAATGGTCTTAAATTTCAATATACTTATTTTTATCAAAGATTATGTTATTAATAATACAGCTATATATTTAGAAGATTTGTTTTTCTTATTTCCAGTATGTTTCTTACCTTTTTAAAATCATTAAGATGTGGGTTACTTGTGATTTTCTGTGGGTTGTTTCTCCCCCCCCCCCCTCATTTTTTTCTTTCTTTTCTTTCCATCCTTTCTTTCTGTACATTAGTTCACGTCTTTGCTAGATCACAATCTTGGTAATACTATTGAAAGGAAATGCTGCTCATTGAGACTACTTATGATGTGAAGGTTTTTAGTGACAATCTAATTTAGTATCTTAAGCTTCCTTTTGTTATTTTAATGTGATACATGAAGATAAAATATTAAATTCCTGGAACATATTTCTTTCTTGTCAAATTTGAGCAGATAGAAATTGCATAGTTTTTAATTGAAATGCTTTGTGTATTAGTGCGAATAGAAATTGAAGAGTTTATTTGGTTCTACATAATTTTTTATATGAAACCAACGTTTTCATTAAATGGGCTTTTGGAAGTTGGTTTCTGCAGAATACTTTTCCAATTTGTTAAATATTCTTTGAAAATTGCATTCCGAATTGCAAATTATATCAACTGCTGCTCTGTAAATTTTACATAGGTGATGATTAATTGAAATAATGAAACACTTGTTGATCATCAGAATTTTTTTTCTGTTTTCTTTTATAAAACTCATCTTAACTGTCATTAATACGAGGCTTTATTGTTAGTTTCTAGTAGCTTTAACATACATTAATTTTGCATTATTAGTACTATCAGCGTATAGTGAAGGAAAAAGTTCGATGTTTGTGATTGGCTGTAAGACATAAGAATCAGCAATCATAATTCTCAAGGAATGTATAATTATCAGTCTTAATGTTTTACTTTCTTGAAATGATCATGAAGATTTGTTGAAAAGCTTGAATATGTTAAATGATTTCAGAAAGTCCATGTGAATTTTGGAGTGAGCCCACTATATTTAAGAATTATGCAGTGTGATGAGAATTAAAAATCATTAAATTTCAGATATTAGCAGGTGCAGATAATTACCAGACAATAATTCTGGATGAATAGGCTAGATCTGGAAGCTGGTATCTATAA